ATCCTCATATCAACTTTTGAAGATAAGATCTGGGGGAAAGGGATGAGGGAGAGACCCAGAAGGGAGACCTTGGATTTTAGGAAACAAGGCTCTGTTGGGGGAGAGTTCCCAGGATATCAATACCATCACATGGAGATAGCGACTCCATGTTACTGTGAGGCTTCCTCTAGTGAAGTTGCCACACAGAAGAGAGGGAGAAGCATGGGATCAGTCTAAGAAAAGGAGGTCACCTAGGTTGGTGCTACTCCACAGGAGGAAGGAAGAAGTCTCAGCTTTCTATTTTAACCAGTTTCACTAGCTAGATGCTAAGCTTGGTTGTTTCTACCTGCTGAACTAGATCACGTGTGGTCACTGCTCACTAAATTCCAGCTGCCTGGGACAAAGCACCCTAGTTATGAGGCTGCTCCAAAGCCAAGTAGTCTTGAGGCCCTGTTAGTTGTTCCTTTGAGAAATTTCTCAGATCCTTTAAATCTTTACTTCTGCTACTACTCACCACCACTCTAGCCAGGTTGGTTTACTTACTGTGTCCCTAGAACATACTCACTTCTAATTTGATTTTTGCCAGTCTTGGCTGTAATGTTCTTTTACTTTCTGGCTTGCTTGTCCAAATCCATCCATCTTTCAAGGCCCTGTTTAAGGTCCATTGCTTTTGTGAAGCTTTCCTTAACTACTCTGCATCCTAAAGAATTCTTTCTTCTGACCCCATCAAACTGACATCTTCAGTTTTTGCTAGGCGTTGAACACAGGCTACCTTGTGGTGTCTGGAGACTTCTGAGGTGTCTATTTCTCCTGGAGATGTAAGCTCTTTGAGGACAAGGAACTGATACTTCTTTGTCTCCCACACAGTGAGCACTACAGGGCTATACCTGAAATGGGTGCTCACAACATTTTTTACTCACTTGCTTTACATTGAAGAGGGCAGTTTGAGGCTATGGGCAGAAGGCTGGATATGGAGTCACAGAACTTGACCTCAAGCCTTGGCCCTGCTACTTACTATCTGTGTGGCCTTTCACCTCTCTGGGCCTCAGTTTCCTCTTTTGTAACCTTGTGAGGGAGGGTACAGTAAGAAAGCATGCTAGGTTTGGAGTAAAAGGACCTGGGTTGGAATCCTGGTTCTACCATTTACTATCTGTGTAACCTTGGGTGAGTCACCTAAACTTGCTCATATCTAAAAAACATAGGGTACAGGAGATGAAGGGCCCTTCTAGCTCTAAAACTATGTGTGATCTTATGATCAGCTGAGCTGAGTGCTTGCAAACTCTTAATCTTGGCACCTGAATCAATGCTGATAACCCTTTTTGTTACTCTCTGAAGTCACTTTTACTTTCTCTTCTACGCCCATTTTTCAGCTTCACTTTTTTTTCTTTCCCCCCTCTTCTATAATTTAGACCAGTCAGTGGCACCCACAGACATTGTTTATGTCAGCTGACAGGCCTTGGAGCTATAAGGAGAGGCTAATACCACAATTTTCAGCTCCTTTTAAAACAAGGCCATTTAAATGGGCTTTGCTCAATCCCTTTAGCATCACCCAAAGATAAGATTAATCTCCGGGTTGGTTACTAGTGGAATTCCTTATTGGGTGTGGCTTTTGAATGGTTTTCCAGTAGCAGTCATGAATTTACACTGACTCATTCCTATTGTCTTCCTTGGTCCTCGAGAGAGACCGAGGATAATTCAATTTGATTCCATTCAACAAGCATTTATTAGGCTCCTACTCCTAGCCTGGTGCCAAAGAAGTACCTGTGGAGATAAAGACCCCAACCAAAACTAGCAGCCTCGATCCTCAGGAGCTCATCTTTTATTGGTGATAGATGGAATAGATGGAATTATTTGGAAAGGGGTCCTGGCTCTTCAGATCCTTTTCAGAATCTTTTTTTTTTCCAGGTGTTTTCACAAACACCCGAGACAGTTTAGAAAGGGAGAGTGGGAGGAAATAAGCATTTGGATAGAGCCTACTATGTTCCTGGCACTGTGCTAATCTCTTTACAAATATTATATTCTTTGATACTAGCAACAACCGTAGAAAGCAGGTGCCATTATACTCATTTTACAGTTGAGTAAATTAAGGCAAACAGGTTAAATGACTTGTCCAGAGTCTTGCTAGTAAGGGGGAAAGAAATCACAGAAGGACAGCTTGAGGAGAGAGGAGGCATTCAGGGCTTGGGCAGTCTGCCTTTTCTTTCATTTTTATTTATTTAGGCAATTGGGGTTAAGTGACTTGCCCAGGGTCACACAGCTGGTAAGTGTCAAGTGTTTGGTCTGAGGTCAGATTTGAACTCAGGTCCTCCTGACTTCAGGGCCAGTGCTCTATCCACTGTGCCACCTAGCTGCCCCAAGCCTGCCTTTTCTTTACGTTGCTGGTGGCTTATTGGCTAACTGTACACATAATCACCTCAGGGTTTTGTTGTGGTGGTGGTGGTTGTTTTGATGGCACCAGTGGAGAAAACTACTTCTTTCTAGTCAGCTGCATCCCTGTCCATTAACCTGGTCCCTGTGGTTGTTCAGGGCCCCCTCAAGTGAGACCTTGGGCATTAGTGTGGCTTGCGATGTCAGTCCATCTGTCACTGGGGGCTCTGGAGAAGAGAAGATGAGGGGGAACATAGGAGGGTTGCTTCAGAGTGATTTGTCCAGAAATGGGAAAGCAGAGGAAATCGGGGAAAAAGGAGACCTGGAGGTTCACTCCTCCTCTCCCCCATTCCCCCCCCCCCCAGCTTTAGCTATACTGTATACCCAACCTAGCAATAAGGCCAAAAGACTGCTTACTCTGTGTTCCTGCCTGCAGGAGACTAGGGACTTCTGCTGTAGTCAGCTGATGCCCTGAAGAGCTGGTGTTATGTTTGGACCATGGGGTTTGGAGTTTTATTTGGAGTTGGCAGAATCAGAATGGTGGCTAATGGCCTGCATGTCATAGTCACCAACAACAGCTTCCTACAACACCTGGGATTTCTTTGGAAAGTGCTAAAATACTCTCTCTTTGTCTTCATAAAAACCACACATAGGAAGCTGTATAAGGAAGAGAGAGTATGGAGCTAGATTTGAATATTCAAGTTTGCCTCTTGTGCTGAGTACATTTGGATTTGTAACCGATTTTTTTTTTACATTCATGTGAGTTCCTCTGGACCCCAAATCCTAGTTCATGTGCTAAAACTAAATTAGGATATTTCCCTTTTTCTTCTAGAATGGTGGTGGACTACAGGTATAGAACTAGGCAAACATTGTCAAACATTCAAAGTGCTGTTTGTTTTTGCTTAGCTGTACGTCTTTGTTATTGTATATTCCATTGAAGTCACACAAGCTGTTTTCAAGAGGGAGAGAGCAGTGCTAAGGGGGAGGGGGGAGGAAGAAGGTGGTGGTGGAATGTGGTTAGCAAAGGCCTTCTTGCTAAAGGAGGAGGCACCTGAGCCTCGCTTTGAAGGTAGTCAGAGATTCTTAGAGCCTGGGGGAGAAGGGAGTGCTTTCAGACCAAGAGGACTGTCTGCCTGTGCTAAGACCAGGAGGACTGTTGTATTCAGGGAACCTCAAAGGCTGCGTGATTAGACGATTTCACTCTAATGTCTGAATAGTTTTGTTTACTATTGCCACGATATTCCACATACTGTTGTCAGAATTCTAGAAATGTGCCTGAAATGGCTTCTAGAGGGAAAAATCTACCAAACCACATCAATTAATTCTTTGAATTAAAACAAATATGTACAGTTAAAGTGCCACTTTAAAAGGAATCTATGAAGTGGCAAAGGCCCAGAGCTTAGCTTCATTTTGTTTATAGAACCTAATGGTCCACTTTGAATGAAAACATCTTTCTAAATATTAAACACCAAATGAGTCAGGAAATGAGTGAGTGACATACAAAGGAAGACCTGAAAAGGAGAACAGGTTGCAGTTGGGGAATTTTGCTTGTCTAATTGCAAAGATACACTGAGTTGCTCTGAGAAAAAGCTTAATATCTCTCGAATCACCCAATCCAGTCATGGAGGGGTACCAGGAAAGGGGTATGTCGTCCAGTGGGCCACTCAGACCGGGTCAGAAGAGACAGGAGAAGCCCTCAGCCTAAGGCCAAAGCCTCTTCCTAGACCTAGGCTGGCCCAGAGCAGTGAGTGCCCCTGAGGCCAGGGCACTGAGGTGGGGAGACACTAGGAAACTCCCTTTCTTACCTACATTCTTTCTTGGCGTCCTTGGGAAAGCCCCGAGGCTTTATGACAGTCCTTGGAAAATGGGAGCCCCAGGTGGGCTTGGATTTGAACCCAGAACACTGCCATGAGTCCTCACAGTAGGCTGACCCACGGGGTTTACCCCTCTGTCAACGTGCAGAGGCTAGGCGCAGCCCTCGCCGGGCACTCACTTTTGATTTTTCAGATGAGAAAGTTTGTCCTGGTCCATTCTTTGCCAGGCTGAGGGGACATGGGGGTGGGTGGGGGTGGGGCACTGGGGGTCTAGGGGGTTCTCCGAGTTTGAGGGAAAGGCTCCACGTGTCTCGCTTTTTCCTAATTCCCAGGCCAGGGTCTTGGCAGCCCTTTCCTCCCCAGAGCCTGCCCTCACCGCTCCGGCCTGCTGCCCGGCCTGGCAGGCTGGTGGCCAGGAAGGCAGGCAGACAGGCGGGCGGCTGGGGGAGCTCCCAGCCCGCGTGTCAACAGCACAGAGGGGCAGAGCAGGCTTCCTGAACTACAGTTCCCAGACTGCTCTCGGCCGAGGGCGGGCTTGGGGGGGAGAGCGGGAGGGAGAGGGAAATCCCGCCCCGCAGCGCAACAGCAGCGACACAAAAGCCCTACTTTACAACCTCCTAGAGAAAGTGGAAGTAAGAGAGCTTAGGTGGGGTGGGAGGAAGGAAGGAAGAAAGGAGGGAAGGAAGGAAGGAAGGAGGGAGGGAAGGAGGGAAAGCCGGGTAGGTGGGCGGGGAGGGGAGGGGAGGAGAGGGGAGGGCGTGAGGGAGAGCCTCAGTTGCTTTTAGGAGTGAGGAGGTGGCTTTTTGGAACTACCCCCCCCGACCCCCCCCCCAATTTGCTCTACTAGACGTGGCCCCCTAGGGCTGGAGTGGGAGCCAACTAGCCTCCTGCCACCTCGCAAGACGGCAGAGTAGTAGGGGCGGGGGCTGGGGCTGCCCCGTACCTACCCCCTGGCCCTGGAGTGCGGGATTGGGGGGGGGGGTCTGGGAGCAGAGCGGGGCTCCCAGCCCCCCTCAGTAGGTCGGCTCGTGGTGGGAAACAAGACGACAGAAGAGGGGGAGAGTAATATTGTTCTAAGTCCAGGACCTGAGGAACTGAGCTGGGTGCCTGGGAATAAGGCCCCCCCCCGCCCCCCGCGCCCCAATTGGGGCAGTAGATCCTCGGCTGTAAAGGCCAGCGAGGGAAGGAGACCAAAGCACTGGGTTGCGCAGGGTTGTGCGGGGCAATTGGTGCGACAGGGGCTGGCGGTGTGAACCGAGATTAGGCTATACCATCCATTCTCCCCTACATCCACCCCTCCCCACCCTCCTCCCCCCGCAGGAGGAGCCTAAAGCTTGGAGAGCTCTTCTCTCAGCTCCTCTAGGGACTGCGGGATCTGCCCGGAGTGTATGTGTGTCTGTGTGCGTGTGTCTGTGTGTGTGCGCACAAGTGTGCGTGCGCCTGTGTATGTAAGTGAGTGTGTGTCTGTGTGGAGGGAGTGAAGATAAGGGAAAAGAGGCGGGCAGACGGGTGCCGCCCCCCAGGGAGGTGCGGGCCTGGGGGTGGGGTGGGAGGAAAAAGGAGGCAGCCGGGCAGCCAGGGAGCCAAGGGGCAGTGCGGCGGTGGTGGCCGCAGGGTGCAGCGTGGCAACGCTGACAGCGGGTGGTTAGCGTAGAGGAGGCTGAGTGAAGGGACCTAGGGTGTGAAGGAAGGAAGGAAAGAAGGAAGGAAGGAGGGAGAGAAGCAAGGCATTTGCCCGGCCGGGGCGCTGCTGTCGTTCGCTGGTGCCCGCCGCAGTGTGCTGGGCGCGCGGCGCCTCCCGGCTCGCCCGCCCGCCCAGGCTGCGCCCGCCAGCCCGCCCGCCTGCTGCTCCGCTCGCCAGCCCTGTTGTTCGCCCTGGCTGCGGCTGTCCACCGGCGCCTGCCCTTCCTCGAGATGTTCCGCTGGAGCATCGGCCGCTTTGTAAGTACAGCCGCTCTCTGAGCGCCCGCCTCGAGGGTGCGTGCGTTTGTTCCGCTTCCCATTTTCTTCCGCCCCAGTCACCCAGCCGGCCGGCTGGCGGTCGATTCCGGGTTTTCAGACGGTCCTTGCACCCCTGGCCGCCGGGTGCCCACTCTCCCCGGCCCCTCCCCTCCCTTCCCCACTGTTCATCTAAGCCTCCCGAGGCACGCCGGCGCCCGGACCAACTCGGGGCGGCCGCGGAGCGAGCGGGAACAGGGCTCCCCCCCGGCACCCCGGCGGGGTCCGGCTGCGCTCTGGGCGCCTGGCGGCCCGCTGGGAGGCTGGCTGCGGGAGCCTACCCTAGCTGCGCGCAGCCCTCTGCCCTGGCCCTTTTCGCCCCAGCTCCAGGCTAGCCCCAGCCGAATATGGCGTTGGAATAGCGGGCAAAGCCGCCTTTTGTTTCCCCTACCGGGAGCACATGGAGGCAGTAACCTCGAGCCACAAACCCGAGCGCAGCGGGAACCTTTGGGGGAGACGGGGGCGGGGAGAGAGAGAGAGAGAGAGAGAGAGAGAGAAAGAGAGAGAGAGAGAGAGAGAGAGAGAGAGAGAGAGAGAGAGAGAGACAGACAGACAGACAGACAGACAGACAGACAGACAGACAGACAGACAGACAGACAGACAGAGACAGAGACAGGCTGGCTGGGCTAGGTTAGGGGCAGCCGCCCTCAGGCCACCCCCACTGTGCGTCGCAGCACCCGGGAGCCTAGGTTGGCCTAGTCTGTGGGGTGCCCCTTTCGAGGGGCTGCCCTCAGGCTCGGTCAGTCGGGTCAGGGTGCTGTTTGGCAATGGGGTCCACCGTGAAGCCTCCAGGGGCTGCACGCACTGTCTGCCAAGTGTCAGGGACCCAGGGCTGCCTGAGCTCGGACTGTACGATGTGTTTGGAAGGAGGAAGCCAGACTGACTGCATCTAGACCTCCCCCCACATTTGACACCCCCCCAGCCGCCACACGCGTGCGCGTGCGTACACACACACACACACACACACACACACACACACACACAGACACACAAACACACAGACACACGCACACCACACCACACTCACAGACATGTACACACGCACACACGCCCCAGAGTCTAAGGATTCCGCTTCCGCAGCCTGTCTGGGCTGGGGGAAGACAGGTAACTGACTTTTTTCCGAGTAACCTGTTTACTCCTTCAGGATGCAGGGAAAATGGAGCAAAAATAAATGTAAAAATGAAAATAAAAATAAAAAAAGGAGAGAGAACGCTCGACTATTTGCAGCAACTTCCATGAATTGCGGAGAGGAGGTGGGAATAGAAGTCTTTCAAATTGGGATTTTTTTCCCCCTCGGGCTAGAAGGTTGGGGGTGGAGAAAGTGCGAGACACTTTGGGAGAACTTGACTATTGGGCAGATTTTCCCGTTGCCTTTTTCAGCTGAAAATGTGCCTTCGGACGTCTTCCTTACCACTGTCTGCTTATCACTGGTTATGTATTGTGAGTTTGTTCCGTACTATGAATCTACTAAGATTTCACTAGGCTTTTCAACTTGGGAAAAAAATCTCTGCTGGTTGAGGGAAAATCTCTTTGCTTTGGGGCGTTGGCATCAGCATCCTGATTGATTGATGGGTTTTCTAAATTTCACACAAATGAAATATAAAATGTGAAACGTGTTTTTTAAAATCACCATTTGCAGATATCAGAAAGGGCTAGGTCCCCCCCCCCTTTTATTAACCTGGTATTGAAATCAATAGGAAGTGAATTTTATTGGGGACTCGGCTGAAACAAATGGCTGGGATTCCAAATTTAGCCCTGACATTTTAAGAGGCTCGTATTTAGTTATTTCGCACAGATTCTTGTGATCTTGCAGTGTTGATTTGGGGTGACAAAAAAAAGGTCAGGATGAGGAGTTGAGCTAATTACAAGGGTCCTTTAAAAGGATAATCTTTCTTACATGTGTTCTCCATCCCACTATTGGGGAAGGGGGCACACACACGACTACTGGAAAATTAATTGCTTTGTATCTGAGAGGCTTAGATCCCCAAAAGGGAGATCTGAGCACCTAAAAGCAGTTGGCCAAAGCTTTGGGCTAAAAAAAAAAATATTCCTGATGCCACTCACCCATTGGGACCTGCATTGTACCATAGCCCACTAATTAACTAGTGCTGGTGTTGGAAGCAAGGGCATGCAGTAGAATTTACAGCAGTTGTGGTGTTTGCCAGCCTGCAGGTTTGGATGCAAGTACATATTGCTCAGCCCCTAGCAGCCGAGTACCTCTTGCACTCACTTGGAGATGCATGCTGATATCTTTGCGTGAACTGCATCTCCTTAATTGCTTGGATTTTCCTTCAGGGGCCACGACTATGGTGAGTATAGGGATTTAGAATCCATGCAGTAAACTGGAGGTTTCTTTGGGGTTTCATTTGAGCCCCCAAATGCCAGGGATTTGCATGACAGACTTGAAATATCCTATGGCTTCAAAGTTGCCGATGGCCAAATTTTTATCTCCTTGAGCCAATAAGCCTAGGCTGCAGTCATCCTTTTCCTAGTGGAGGGTTTCCCAAGGGTGCTCCTATTTAAAGTCATTGGCTAAGTGTACATCATTTTTAGGTTGGACTTTGAGACTTTTCCTACTAGTTGTTCATTTCTAGAAAAAGGACATGATTGCATCTGTTTTGCACATAGCAGGGGGCTTCAGTGCTTGGTGAATAAATTGCTGTTGGTGTTAACGCTTGCAAATCAAACTAGCTTTTTGGTGCATTGATGTGGAAGTTGGGGGGGTTGCCTTTGAATATAGAGTCAGTGATTGTTGGTGGCGTTTGGTTACCTGAGCAGCTCTTTACATTTAAATCTCGTGTAGTAAGTCACAGTATCTGTCTTTGCTGAATCATCTCAAGGCATGTCATTTCTTTGCCAGCCTATGTAACTTAGACCAAGTAACAGTAAATTTTCTCCTTAAAGCCAGGGGCCTGGAAGCCCATATATAATGTTGTCCACTGTTTTTTTTTTTCAGGCGATTTTATGGCTTTATTTTGGATGGCTCCAAGGTACAGATGAAATGTTAGGATTTGGTGCAGAATTTTAAGATTAGTGGGATTCTGGTGGTGTCTTCAAGAACCAGAGATGAAAGGATCTGAACACACTCAGCAGTAGCGCCCCCCTTTTGTCACTCCCCAGTCTGCTGCCTCCATGAATAAGAATTAATCTAACATGCATATGATGTTTTATCATTTGCAAAGCGCTGTGCATGTTTGATGCTCACAACACTTGGGTAAGCTGGATGGTAGTATTAGTCCCATTTTACAGATGAAGAAACTGAGGCTTAGAAAGGTTAAGTGACTGGTTTAGGGTTACAGATCTGGTAAGTATCAGAGAGAGGATTTAAATCTAATTCTTCTTGACTCCAAGCTTTGCTTTCTTCACTGCCTCACAAGTGCCTGGTAAAGATGCCCTATATTATCAAATGTATTTTCTCCAAAAACATTCTTATTATAAGTTTCTTGAAGGCAGTTTCTTTTTGTATTTTTGTACCAGTGCCTGGTACATACATACTAGGTTCATAATAGATGCTTGTTGAATTGAAAATTATTTTAAAAAAATTTTCAGGCAGAGTGGCATCTCACAAGAACAGAGGGCCAGCGTTGGAGTCAAGAACACATGGATTCAAGTCCTGGATTGGCTAAAAATCTGCTGGTTGTATGACTAGGCTCTTTAAAAACTCTGGATAAGTTGTAGATCTGCACCAGTGGAGGAAATTCCCATACCAGGAGTTCTTCACACTGATGGACCCCAAAGTTTTGAAAATTATGAACTTATTAACAATCTCAACAAATTTGGACAAATAGATTGAGGCATAGAGCCCCCTTTAAAACTACATGATTGGAATGATTGACATCTTGATAAAAGACCATAAGAAATGACAATAATAACCTATTTGTTGAGTCCCAGTTTGCTCTCTTTTTCATCTGTATACTTATAAAGCTTTATTGCTGCTCTTATAGCTTAGTCAACATGTGTGGTTCTTCTTATCTCTCTTTACTCTGCATTACTTCCTGTGAATCTTTCTATATTTCTTTTTATCTTTCACGTTTGTCATTTTATGGCACAATAATATTCTATTACATTATTAAGAGACAATTATTCAGCTGTTTTCTAATCATTGAGTTGTTTGGAGTTTTTCCCCAATGTAAACAAAACAGCTATAGTACTTTCAGTACAGATAATATCTCTAGACCAGAGGTGTCAAACACTAGTTCACAACATTCCTGAGTACCTGGAACCTGATTAAAGTGTAGTTGGGAGATATTTAACAAATTAAATAAATAAAAATGCAGTAGAACATAGATAATGTCAATATGTGGTTTTCTAGGTCAATATGTAGCCTGTAGGGATCCTTCCTTATGTATGTTTTTTGTTTTGGTTTGGTTTTGGAGACATTTGGGTTAAGTGACTTGCCCAGAGTCACACAGCTAGTAAGTGTCTGATGTTGGTTCTAATAGACTGCACCATTTCACAATTACACCAACAATGTGATAGTGTGTCTGTTTCCACACCATGGTACTGGAAGTGGATTTTATAGTTTTAAAGTATGTAAACCAATTTCTTCCTTGGGTGTAAGGTGGTACCTCAAGATTTTAATTTGCATTTATTTCTCTGGTTATTAGAAAGCTTGATTATTCAGGTGGTTATTAGCAATTTGTGTTTCTTTCCTTGAAAATCATCTGTTCACTTCCTTTGATCATTTGGGCATTCCTGCTATAAATTTGTATCTTTATAATCCTGGGTGTCAGATTAAAGAAAAATTATTAATTTATTTTGATTTATCAACAATCACTTCCATAAGCTTTTGAGTTTTAATTTTTTCTCCCCCCCTTCCCCCTCTCCATACCCAAGATGGTGTGCAATCTGATATAAGCTATATATATACATTCCTATTAAACATAGTTTCACCTTAGTCATGTTGTAAAGAAGAATTAGAACCAATGGGAGGAACTACAAGA